GGCCATAGTTCCCCCATGCTGGCTCGGGAATTCTGGGAGTTGAAGCCCACCAGTCATGAGGGGGCCATAGTTCCCCCATGCTGGCTCGGGAATTCTGGGAGTTGAAGTCCAAGAGTCATGAAGGGGCCATAGTTCCCCCATGCTGGCTGAGGAATTCTGGGAGTTGAAGTCCACCAGTCATGAAGGGGCCATAGTTCCCCCATGCTGGCTCAGGAATTCTGGGAGTTGAAGTCCACCAGTCATAAAAGAGCTGAGGTTGCCTACCCCTGGCCTGGGCCTTGAACCAAGCAAACTTGTGACGTCCTTGAATGCTCCTCAGCTTCCCTTCTGACCTCTGTGGCTTGTTCCCATCAGGAATTCCGAGTCTCTTCAAACCTTGCTGGTCCTCCGCTTCTGCAACCTCCTTTTCCAGACTTGGGTGATGGTCACCTACACAGACCAGGCAGCTGCCTTTGAAGGTGAGCCCGGTGGTCCCATCCGGTGCAGTGGCCCTTTGCCCACCGGCTCAAGAACAGGCGGCTTCTGCGTGCAGGAGTCCCCAAACCTGGGAAGCTTGATCCGAAAGTGGGAGGGGAGGAAAGAGGTAGCGATCCTGGCTTATGCTGGAAAGGCCAGGTGCAAAGGAGGGTTTGTCTGCATGGAAAAACGACCCTGGGGGTCTGTGTGAATATCTCTGGAGGTTCTCTGTCCTCCAGGTCCTGGTTGTGCCAAAGCTGCTTTTTCAAGAGGGAACGGGACTTTCTTTGTTTTAATAATAATAATAATAATAATAAAAATAATGATGATGATGATGATGATGATGATGATGATGATGATGATGATGATGGTAATATAGAGTTGGAAGGGACCTTGGAGGTCATCTAGTCCAACCCCCTGCTCAGGCAGGAAACCCCACACCATTTCGGACAAATGGCTGTCCAGTCTCTTCTTAAAAACTTCCAGTGTTGGAGCATTCACCACTTCTAGAAGCAGGTTGTTCCACTGGTTAATTGTTCTAATTGTCAAGAAGTTTCTCCTTAGTTCCAGGTTGCTTCTCTCCTTGGTTAGTTTCCACCCGTTGCTTCTTGTCCTGCCTTCAGGCGCTTTGGAGAATGGCTTGACTCCCTCTTCTTTGGGGCAGCCCCTGAGATATTGGAATTTATTTATTTATTTGAATTTGTATACCGCTCTATCTCAGGGCGGTGGACAAGCGATAATAAAAATCACAATAAATATACTCAAATTTCTATTATAAAATCAGATTAAATAAAAGGCCTGCTCTAAAATACCCTATATAAGACCTTTACTAAAACATAATTAAAACTACGCCAGGCCGGAATGCTGCTATCCTGTCCCCCCTCGTCCTTCTCTTCATTAAACTAGACATACCCAATTCCTGCAACTGTTCTTCATACGTTTTTGCCTCCAGGGACTTCAAAAGGGAGTTAGAGGAGAACCTGCCACCAAATGTGCGTCTTGTCAACGCTGCTAATATTGTATATTCTTGCTTTGACAAACTATGCAGAACTGTCTGGTATTTTTAGAGTTAATGCAGAGGAGAAGGAGGGAGGAGGGAAAAAAGCACGAAGGAAGGGAACCTTTTGCCCTTCACACTAATTGGAGAACGTAAATCATGACAGCAAAATAGGGAGTGGAAATGCTAGCAAAAATAACTGCTCCTGGGTGGGGATTTCAGATCTTAGCATGCCTTTCATCATGCCTGTGCCGACATTTTGTCACATAAATAAAAAGACTTTTTTTAGGATAAAATGCCTGGAAGTTCTTTGAAGTGTTTCATTCGTCGGAACCATGATACATCTATTCTATACATTGTGGGCCAGGATGTTGCCTTTCTGTGGCTTAGCATATTGTGTGAATCCAGCCCATTGCGGTTTATTCAGTAAACTGTGATTAAACAAAAGAGGGAAAAAAGAAGCCGAGGCCCTAGAAAGAGTGTAGAGAAGAGCAACGAAGAGAAGAGGCCTGGAGGCTAAACTACACAATGAGGGGAACCGAGTATGTTTTGCCTAACGAAGAGAAAGACTAAGGGCGAGGGGGCTGGAGGCTAAAATGTACAAAGAACGGCTGCTGGAATTGGGTATGTCCAGTTTAATGAAGAGAAAGACCAGGGGGGACATGATAGCAGCCTTCCAGTATCCCAGGGGCTGCCCCAAAGAAGAGGGAGTCAAGCTATTCTCCAAAGTGCCTGAAGGCAGGACAAGAAGCAACGGAAGGAAACTAATCAAGGAGAGAAGCAACCTAGAACTAAGGAGAAACTTCCTGACAGTCAGAACAATTAACCAGTGGAACTACCTGCCTCCAGAAGCGGTGAATGCTCCAACACTGGAAGTTTTTAAGAAGAGACTGGACGGCCATTTGTCTGAAATGGTGTAGGGTTTCCTGCCTGAGCAAGGGGTTGGACTAGATGACCTCCAAGGTCCCTTCCCACTTTATCATTATTATGATGATTATTATGATGATTATTATGATTATTATTATTATGATTATTATTATTATTATTATTATTATTATTATTATTATCATCATCACTACTACTACTACTACTACTACTAACTACTACTAAAAAATAAGGTTACCACTGTGTTGCAGCAATTTGCTGAGCAGAAATAAGGATCTGCATTTCCCAGGAATCTCTGCAATTGTCCTTTTTTTAAAAAATGAAAGAATACAGCCCATCAGCTACCTATTAGCCCATGGATCACCGCTGCTTCCTCCCACTTTGCGAAGCCTGGCTTTTGCAACAGAACAAATGTGGACTTTGGAAGTGGACATTTGTTGAAGCGAGCTTTGCCCTGTGTTACAATCTCTTGCCACGGTTAAGTGAATCGTGGCATATGAGGAAAGGTTGCTGGAATTGGGTAGGTCTAGTTTAATGAGACGAGGGGGACATGATAGCAGTATTCCAATATCTCAGGGGCTGCCCCAAAGAAGAGGGAGTCAAGCTATTCTCCAAAGCCCCTAAAGGCAGGACAAGAAACAACGGATGGAGACTAATCAAGGAGAGAAGCAACCTAGAACTAAGGAGAAACTTCCTGACAGTCAGAAAAATTAACCAGTGGAACAACCTGCCTCCAGAAGTTGTGGATGCTCCATCCCTGGAAGTTTTTCAAGAAGAGAGTATACAGCCATCTGTCCAAGATGGTGCGGGGTTCCTGCCCTGGGCATGGGGTTGGACTAGAAGACCTCTCAAGGTCCTTTCCAGCCCTCTGAATCTATGGGTTAGTGGGTTGAGAACATAGCCCATAACTCCCCTTGCATTCCCGCCCCGTCTTACCAATGTGGGGCCCCCATTTCCCGAGTCAAAGCTGCCGCTCTTTCCTGTTGCTGCAAGTCGAGCAGCTGATTGTCTATCACGCACCTGGACTGATCAGGTGGCCTCTCGTTGCAGTGGCCGCCGTGCTGAGCTTGTGCATCCAGCACTTCATCGGGGGGCTGATCACCACGCTGGTCTTCAGCAAGATGATGCTGTGCAGTCAGAAGGCCCCAGAGAGGATCCAGGTGGGTGCTCGTTTCGGAGCCTGGGGCCTTTGCCCACGGATTCATCCGGGGCACGTAGCCTCCACGGCCCGTGGATTCAGTTCGCAGCAGAGTTCGAAACCCACAGAGAGATCTATGGGTACAGATTGCCTACTACTGGGTGTGTCTTTTGCTTCCCGCTGGTCATTGTAAGTCAAGACACCAGAGAGGGGGTGAGGGTGGGTGGACAGCACCTATAACCTCGTAAACGGGCATATCCCATGGGTCAGTGATGGCGAACCTTTTTGAGACCGAGTGCCCCAAACTGCAACCCCAGGGCTGCATCAGCATTGTGGTGCCCTCGGGGGGGTGAGGAGAGCGTGGCCCACTGGATGGGCGTGGCTGTAGTGGTCACGACAGGCTGGGTGAGCATGGCTGGGGCCAGTCCCTTGCCATCTCCGGGGCATCCCCGGGGGGGCCAAACACCGTTTGCTCGCTCACTTCCTACCCTGTTGCTTCCGAACGCCTCGTGCTCGCTACTCTGGCGAACTCTGCTGGGGCAACGGCATACGTGCCCACAGAGAGGGCTCTGATCTGGCACGCGTGCCATAGGTTCGCCACCACTGCTATAGGTCAGGGCTTTTCAACCAGTGGTACGGGTACCACCTGTGGTACATTGGCACCTGGCAGGTGGTACGCGACCATCCTAGAAAAGTGGTAGCAGGGGAGGGGAATGGGTTGAACCGGTGGCAGCACCGCACAAGCCTGAGCGAGAGACGGCTGGAGCTGCAGGGCTGTCAGGGCTCAGCGGAAGCGGCAGGATCAGTGCCGCTTTCCAGCTGATTGGCCCTTCTTCGGGGCTGTCAGGGATCAGCGGAAGCGCCAGGATCAGCGCCAGGATCCAGCTGGAGCTCGGCGCTGATCCTGGTGCTTCTGCTGAGCCCTGAAGAAGCACCAATCAGCTGGAAAGCAGCACTGATCCTGGCGCTTCTGCTGAGCCCTGAAGAAGCGCCGATCAGCTGGAATGTTGCAGCCTCTCCGGGGTCTTGTGATTTACATTCAGATGCTTGGCAACTGATTCATATTTATGACGGTCACAGTGTCCCAGGGTCATGTGAAGCGACCAAAACCTGCTGCAGCCACCCAGCAGACGGGGGGGAATAAAAACCAAACACCCCCCACCCTACCCCTGCTGCCAATCCTCAACAGAAATGCTCACAACAATGGAAACCTCGGACCGGAGAAAGAGCGCGGCCGGGCGGGCGGGCAGGGGTCTTGCTCGGCTGTGGCTTGGGGGGCACTTTTTTCAGTGCCATTGTAACTTCGAATAGTCACTAAGCGAACTGTTGTAAGTCGAGGACTACCTGTACTTTATCCAAGTTTTTGACACCTTGCTAGGCGACTGGTAGTATTCTGATGTTGCCATATCCTAAAAGTAGTACAATGGGTGAAAAGGTTGAAAAGCCCTGCTATAGGTATCGTCTGTTTCTCTGATCTGGGAGCTTAAGGCCAGGCAGATGAACTCCCTCCCCCATTTTAACAGAGGGCTGCGTACAGGGGCTCCCCAAAGGCTTTGGCCCTTTCAGAGATTTCACGTTAATGGTGGCGCAGTGGTCAGAAGGCAGCATTGCAGGCTAACTCTGCCCGCTGCCAGCGGTTCGATCCCGACCGGCTCAAGGTTGACTCAGCCTTCCGTCCTTTACCCAGGACGGTAAAATGAGGACCCCCGAATGTTGGGGGCAAATAGGCTGACTCTGTAACGCCGCTCAGAGAGGGCTGCAAAAGCCCTGTGAAGCGGCATATAAGTCTTAAGTGCGATTGCTGTGGCTGTTTATTACATTTATATCCAGCCCATCTCCCTGTGGGTGGCTGGCGGTGTCGAAAAGAGCAGTATAAAACGGCCGGAAAATTAAAACCTTAACAAGCATTAGCCACGGAAAGTGAAAATATTGAAAATTAACGCTAGTTGGAGAAAGTGGATACCAATGGGCAAGGAAGCTGGAGGTGGGATCTTCTCCTAATTTACTAGCCACGCCCCCATTGGGACTCCTCCCCCCCCAGCCCAGTTGGCAGAGCCGAGGACTACCTGTAGTCCAAGCACGAGAGGACCAGGTCTGTGAATGACCTCACCCTCCCACCCTCCCTCCGGGCTCCTTGCTCGGCTGGGCTCACTTTGCTTCCCTCTCCCCACAGGCCACCCACTACAGCTTTCTCGCCGCCATCGAGGTCCTGGGGAAGGTGGCCTTTAGCACCGTGGCAGGTAGCCTGGTGGACTGGTTGGGCTTCCGACATACCTTCGGCGTCTTCCTCGCCTTCTCCTTCGCCTCCGTGCTCTACACAGTGTAAGCCAGGACGAGCAGAGGGCCTTCCCGCCAGGGTCAGTCCCGTGTCGCTGGCCAACGAAAGAGAGGCCAACTTCAAGAGAAGCCCATTGAAATCCGGGGACATCTCATTAAAGCAGCCTCCTCCTCACACAACTGCTTCCTGGCCGGTCCTCCTTGACAAGGGGTGGGGACGAGTCACAGCACTCCATCTGAGCCATGTAGGAGTGTCGGATGGGGAAGAGAGATTGCCGTGTAGATTTTTTTTAGTAGTCCTCCTTTAGCGGCCACAACAGGGACCAGCAACCTGGTCATTAAAGCAGTCACGACGTGAAACCGTGACAGTGATTATGGTTTTCCTTCCGTTTTCCTTCGCTTTACGGACCTACGAAGGTTGTGAGAATCGGTTGTAAAGATGTACGGAGATTCTCCCTCGTCCAGGTCATGGTTGTCCCAAAGTTGCTTCTTTTTTATTTTTCCCAAAAGGCAACTGGGCTTTCTTGTGTTTTTTTTCCCCACCCTGAAAACATTTCACTTCTCGTCCAAGTTCTGAAGAAGCTTCGTGGGTGAGAAGCGAAATGTTTTCAAAGAAAGAATCAAGAAAGCCCAGTTGCCTTTTGGGGAAAAAAAACAAAAACTAGTTATCCATTTAGGATAACTGGTTGTAAAGTTACTTTTTCGCTGCTATTGTGACTGCAAATGGTCGCTAAAGGAGACAGTCGCTAAACGAGGACTGAACCGTCCTTGCAGTGGAATTTCTCCTCCTCTTTGCTCAGGTATTCTGGAATTTAAAAAAAAGAGCTTTCCTTATGGTCTCTTTTACTGTTGTTAGAAGGAAAAATCACCAGGTCCAGCCCAAGCCGGGAGTAAATAAAATGGAGGCTAAGACGCTGGAAATAAAAATGGAGGCTGGTTGTTTGGAAAGAAGGTTCTTGTTTATTTAGTTGCCAGAAACCACAGTGACACAGCACGTTTCTGGGGGGGGGGGGAGGCTGACAAAATGGAATTGGGATAGGTGGGTTTTTATCCCTTCTTGGACTTTTTATTTGGACGTGTTCCTGTTCTTGTGCCGTGTACTTTGACCTGAGTTTGAATGTGCCCTTTTGGGATTCTAAAGGTAGTAGGTTAATCCTATTATGTCCTAAAGCAGGGGATCTCCAACCCCCGGCCCGTGGACCGGTACCGGGCCGTGGCATGCCAGCAACCGGTCCGCACAAACAAGCAAAGCTCCATCCGTGGGATGCAGGCAGCACACAAAACCACGCACCCTCCGGTCCGCGGAAAAACCTCTCCCTGGTGCCCAAAAAGTTGGGGATACCTCTGTCCTAAAGATCATGTTCCTGTCCTTGGCAGCCTTTGTTTTTCTAATCCCATCATCTCCAACTTTCTCCGGGGCTGTGGCCGAAGGCCTTTTGCTTATGAACAGGTGGCCCACTCTTTCTGAACAGGAGTATCAAATCTGCTTTTCGACAGAGCAGGCCTGCTCACTTTCTGCCTGGTTAAACTTGGGCTCTTCCTGCCTAAGATTTTCCTCCATTATTCCTTTGGGAAAATATAATATTTTGTCCTTTTTAATAGTCCCCCAAATATTTCTTTCTCTGGGGTGTGCGTGTGTGTGTGTGTGTGTGTGTGTGCTGACTTTCTACACTGTTTTGCCCCACAGCTGGGATGCTCAGCACCGTCATTAGAATTTGGGGGACAGAATTCCTCTGACAACTGGGTGGGATCAGCCTGGCTGGGCTTCTGTTCTTTTTCCACCTTGTTCACCCGCGCACCGAGCTCATTTTTGCTGACTAGAACAGGGCTGAGCAACTGTGGCCTCCTTACGACCGGTGGACTTCAACTCCCAGAATTCCTGAGCCAGCATTAATGACAATAAAACCAATCAAAACACCACATGAAGCTTTTCCCTCCGTGTTCCTGCTCTTTCCAGACGGTCAGGTTTAGCCAGTCTCAGTCGGGGAGAACTTGCACATTCCCGCCCCCGCTGAAGGTGTCGGCCGGAAAAATCAGGAATTGTCTTAATCGGGAGAGCTTGTTTCCCAACCAGCCTCTGGATGGATCACCCACTTTGCGAAGCCTGGCTTTTGCAACAGAACAAATGTGGACTTTGGAAGCGGACATTTGTTGAAGCGAGCTTTGCCCCGTGTTACAATCTCTTGCCACGGTTAAGTGAATCGTGGCATATGAGGAAAGGCTGCTGGAATTGGGTCTGTCTAGTTTAATGAAGAGAAGGACGAGGGGGGGGAATGATAGCAGTGTTCCAGTATCTCAGGGGCTGCCCCAAAGAAGAGGGAGTCAAGCTCTTCTCCAAAGCACCTGAGGCAGAACAAGAAGCAACGGATGGAAACTGATCAAGGAGAGAAGCAACCTGGAACTAAGGAGAAACTTCCTGACAGTTAGAACAATTAACCAGTGGAACAACCTGCCTCCAGAAGTGGTGAATGCTCCAACACTGGAAGTTTTTAAGAAGAGACTGGACAGCCATTTGTCTGAAATGATATAGGGTTTCCTGCCTGAGCAGGGGGTTGGACTAGATGACCTCCAAGGTCCCTTCCAACTTTATTATTATTATTATTATTATTAGTAGTAGTAGTAGTAGTAGTTAAGTTGATGACGTGGTGAAGTGGATTTGGCGTCCCCTTGTGGACTTTGCTTGGCAGAAGATCGCAAAAGGGCGTCACTCGACGCCCTCCAGGACTCCGCGGCCGTCGTAAATATGAGTCAGTGGCCAAGTGTCTTGAATTTTGGTCATGGGACCACGGGGATGGTCGTAAGCGGGGGGAAAATGATCCTAAGCCACTTTTTGACTCTGTTAAGGCAGTTGTAATTTTGGTCACTAAATGAAGAGTTGTAAGTTGAGGATCACCTATAATCTGGACAGGCTGCAGGGGGTGGCAGCGAGGGGAACTGTGAACACCATTTTCGCAACCCACCTGGATTCCGACAAAGCAGGTCCCCGTCTTTGTTTTCACGAGCGAAAGCAGCCTGAGGATCAGGAAAAACCCGCCAGGAAACCAAGAAGGTTCGAATCAAAAAGTTGGGATACAGAACGCAGAAGAGTTCAAGGCGAACCTTGGAGGTCTTCTAGTCCAGCCCCCCCCTTCTTTATTTTAATCATTGACCGACAAAAGTACAATCAACCAAACGAATAACACAAAATTGTTCCCTAACCAGAAATATTAATCATTTGCGGGCGAAAGACGTACATGATATGGTAAAAATTTTGCTGCTTTTAGAAAAATCAAGCCTGCCTGTTTAAATCTGCAGGCTTAATAGGTAAGTTATTAAAGGCACAAAGGTGAAATCATAGTGCCGGCATCTGTGTAGATTGGGATTGGATTAGGAGGATAGGACTTTGGTGGACTTAGACATAAGCCCAAATTGCAGCGAGCAGAACCAGAAGGCCAACCAGCTTCAACCAAATGGGAACCGAGGCCCGGTGGTCTGATTGGGCAACTGGCCTGGTTCCCAAAGGTTTCAAGATCCGTTCATGCTGGGTCAGGACAGCTTTCCTGGCTCCCTCCCATTTGCCTGGTCCTTGCAAGCGGTACTGATACGGAGTACGTGGCCCAAATAAAATCTCCTGGGCCAGCTTAGGATCGGTGATAAACCGGGACCATATGTTGGGCATGACCCCAATCAGAGAAGCCAGTTCATCCATATAGTCCGTGTAGTCCACCTGGATGGTGTGGCGTTGGCTTTTCACGTACCTTTTTGCCATGGAAATCTTCTTATCCGTAATATCGGATATCATCTCACTTGTCGATGGCAGCTGGGCAAGCCCTTTAAAGACCCGCGTGGCCCAGCGGGCTTGCATTTCCGCAATGGGCATGATGGCCCCCAGCGGTTGCACAAGACCAATGATGGCCAGGGTGGGTTTCTCCAGATTAGGCAAGAAGACAAACTTATATAAGGGGATCTGGTTTTCAACAACCGTCATGAGGTCCCCCAGGAAAGGAAAGGAGAAACTATATCCTGTAGCCAGGACAACGCAATCTATGTCCTCTTCCTTAGAGCCGTCGTCAAAGACGGCAGCCGTTTCGGTAAACTCGGCGATGTTGGATTTTATGACAATTTTCCCTGAAATAAGGCAATTTGGGAGGTCATCGTTGACGGTGGGATGCTGGCCGCGAAATCCGTGCTGGGGTTTCAAGCCATAATGAGAATGGTCGAATCTGCTATTTAATTTGCGCTGTATGAATCGTTCGACCATGGACAAGGGAAGACTTTGCTCCAGGAGTAAATGAGCCCGGCTAAATACAGTGTCGAATGGGTAGCCTTTATCACCCACACGGCTTAGTAGCCAGGCTCCTCGGCGCGTGCTGAGGAAGACCTGTTGCGCCGTGTGGCTGATCTCCACCGCGAGGTCCACGCCCGAGTTCCCGATGCCGATCACGACGACTCTCTTCCCTGTAAATGCATCGGGACTCTTGTAATCCCGACTGTGTAAGTAGTGGCCCTTGAAGGTTTGAATCCCCGGGAAGGAGTCCAAGGGGAGATATGCATTGGTGTGGTGGCCGGTGCAGACCAAAACGGCATCAAAAATGGACGACTCCTGCTTCCCCTCTGACTCGGTGGTCACATCCCACTGGCCGCTGGTAGAGAAATCGGGGCGCTTTGTTACGCTGCAGACTTTGGTCTTGAACCGGACGTATTTCAGAAGGTCAAAGCGCTCGGCATACATCCTGAAGTAGTCCATGATCTTTGAGTTGTGCATGTAGTTGGGAAAATCGTCTGGGATGGGGAAGTCACTGAAGCACATCATTTCCTTGGAGGTGTTGATGATCACGGACTTGTAGATACTAGCCCGCTCTTCCTCTGGATTCTCCTTGAACCTCCAGAGCCCCCCAACATCATCGCTCCTTTCAAAGCACACAGGATCCAGACCTTCTTCCAAGCAGCATTTGATGTTACAAAGCCCACTGGAGCCGGCTCCAACAATGGCCACCCTCTTCTTTTCCATCTCCCGGGAAGGCTGCAGATGAACAGTCGACAGCAGGGGAAATGAACGTACGCAATCTCTTCTTCGCTTCTTGCACAACAGAAAGTGTTAATACCACTTTACAACGCCCTGGAATACTGCATCCAGTTTTGGTCACCACGGTGTAAACAAGGTGTTGAGACTCTAGAAAGAGTACAAAGAGCAACAGAGAAAAGGTTAAAACGTACAAGGAACGGCTGCTGGAATCTGGTCTGTCTAGTTTAAGGAAGAGAAGGACGAGGGGGGACATGATAGCAAGTTGTCCAATATCTCAGGGGCTGCCCCAAAGAAGAGGGAGTCAAGCTATTCTCCAAAGCGCCTGAAGGCAGGACAAGAAGCAACAGATGGGAACTGACCAAGGAGAGAAGCAACCTGGAACTAAGGAGAAACTTCTTAACAGTTAGAACAATTAACCAGTGGAACTACCTGCCTCCAGAAGCGGTGAATGCTCCAACACTGGAAGTTTTTAAGAAAAGACTGGACAGCCATTTGTCTGAAATGATGTAGGGTTTCCTGCCTGAGCAGGGGGTTGGACTAGATGACCTCCAAAGTACCTTCCCTTCTCTTAAGGAAGAGAAGGACGAGGGGGGAACATGATAGCAGTCTTCCAATATCTCAGGGGCTTCCCCAAAGAAGAGGCAGTCAAGCTATTCTCCAAAGCCCCTGAAGGCAGGACAAGAAGCAACAGGTGGAAACCAATCGAGGAGAGAAGCAACCTGGAACTAAGGAGAAGCTTCCAATTAACCAGCGGAACCACCTGCCTCCAGAAGTTGTGACTAGTTCCTGACAGTTAGAAAAGCTTCCTGGCCCCTTGATTCTCTTTTGCAGAGATCTCCCACCCGTGTTCATGAGCTTGGCCCCCTGGAAGAGAGGGTGGCCTTCAACTCCCAGAATTCCCCAGCCAGCAACGCTTTTGCTGGCTGGGGAATTCTGGGAGTTGAAGCCCAACCTCTCTCTCTAAATTGCCCAGTTTGGGGGGGAAAAAAAAACAAAACACCAAGTTTTAGCTTTCTAATGAACCCCCAGGGTTGTCTCCCCGCCCCCCCCCCACACACACCGTCCCCCAAAGTCAGGGCCTGCGGAACTCCTTGCCACCGGACCAGACGGTCACCCACCTGATGTCTCCAAGAAGAGGGGAGCCTCATCACTGTGGCAACTTCATCCCTGCCAAGCCTTCAAGAAGAGGCTGGGTTGGACTGTGGAATTCTGGGAGTTGAAGTCCAGCCCTCTTTCCCCCCGCCCGAGTTTCACCAATAGGCAGGCAGGGGGGAGGAGCCCGGTGTCCCTCCCTCCCCCCCGCCCTCCACCACGCCCAAGAGGCGGGGTCTCCGATCGTGGCGCCTCCTCCCCGCGATAGGTGGCGAGGCGGCCGCGGCGGGCCAATCGCCGGCGGGGTAGGCGCGGCCTCCGCGCGGACGGCCAATCGGGGCGCTGGCTCGCGGGAGGGCGGGCCCAGTGTGTGTGTGTGTGGGGGGGGGAGTGGGGGGGCAGAGTCGCCCGCGAGGCGTGAAGAGTAGCGCGGCCGCCGCGATGGAGCTGCGGAGGACGGTGAGACCCCCCCCAACCCCGTTTCGTTCCCCACGGAGCCCCCTCCCCGTCCCCCTTCCCGGGAGGCCCGCAGCACCCCCGGGGCGCTGGGGGGGCCCTTCTGGGAGGGGGGACCGATGCCCTCGAGGGGACCCGGGGAGGGGGGAGGGGGGAGGGGTCGCGGTCTCCCAGCCCCCCCCACGTGTGGCCCCCTCCTTGGGTTCCTGGCACCCCAGAGAAGCCCCCCCTCCCCTCCTGGGAATGAGCTCGAGGTTGGGCGGGGGAGGGACTGGGGGTCTCTGGGGGGTCTTGGGAAGACCCCCCCCAGAAACCCCCCAGCCCCTCCCTGCCCCTCCCTTCCTGGGGGGCTTCCACCCCCCAAGAAATGGTCCTCAGCAGCCCCTCCCTCTATTCCTGCGAATGAGCTTGAGGTTGGGCGGGGGAGGGGCTGGGGGTCTCTGGGGGCTCTTGGGAAGACCCCCCCCAGAAACCACCCAGCCCCTCCCTGCCCCTCCCTTTCTGGGGGGCTTCCACCCCCCAATAAATGGTCCTCAGCAGCCCCTCCCTCCATTCCTGGGATGAGCTCGAGGTTGGGCGGGGGAGGGGCTGGGGGTCTTTGGGGGGTCTTCGGAAGACACACCCCCAGTAACCCTCCTGCCCCTCCTTTCCTGGGGGGCTTCCGCCCCAAGAAATGGTCCTCAGCAGCCCCTCCCTCCATTCCTGGGAATGAGCTCGAAGTTGGGCGGGGGAGGGGCTGGTGGTCTTTGGGGGGGTCTTCGGAAGACACCCCCCCAGGGACCTCCCTGCCCCTCAGTTTCTGGGGGGCTTCCCCCCAATAAATGGTCCTCATCAGCCCCCCCTCAGTTCCTGGGAACTAGCCCACGGCTGGGTGGGGTGGGGTCTTTTGCCTGGGGGCATCCATTGGTCCTGAACCCCCACCCCCCGCCCCTCCTTATACTCCACTGTCTGGGGGATCCTCTCTTTTCTGTGTCTGCCCCCCACCCTTTTCGCATGGGGTGTGTCTGCCCCCCCCCCCCAGGGCTGGGCTGGGCTTTCCATTCATCCCTGCGGAATTCGCCTGGTGCCGCCCCTCCTTCCCAGCTGTGCTTCTGGGGTTACGCCCTGATGGGGGTTCCCCCTTCCCCCCCTCCACTGGTGCACAAGCTGGGCCTGGCCTTTTGGGAAACCGGACTACCTTTGCCTGCCACCCATCATCCACTCCCTCTGCTTCCCCTCCTTGCAATGCCCTTGCAGGGGGCCGGCTGGCAGTGGGACTGCCAGAGGGGGGGTCTCGAACAGAGCAAGCCCAGTTCTTTCCCCCTGGCTGGGTGGGCCACCCGGAGGAGCTGGGGCCGGCTCGGGTTCAGGTTATGACAGCCAGACTTTGCCTCTGGGGGGACCATGGGGTCTGGTGCTCTGTGGCCCCCACCCCTCAGCATAAGACCCCTCCTTCCTTGCTCCCCTCCTCCTCCTCCTCCTCCTGTGGGATGGGCATGCCAAGTCCGTGCAGGAGTGTGGTCCATTTAGCCTAATCCTCTGGCCGTATGTAATTTAGGATAGAATAGAGCTGGAAAGGGACCCTGGAGGTCTTCTAGTCCAGCCCTCTGCTCGAGCAGGAGACCCTAGACCCTTTCAGACACGTGACTGTCCAGTCTCTTCTTAAAAACCTCCAGGGATGGAGCGCCCACGGTCGAATTAGATTGAGGCTCCCCCATCTCCTTTGCCCCTTCTGTTTCCATGCGTGTGGGGGTCTCTGAGCCCTTTTTGCACAAAGCCTTGGATGCCCTGAGGCAAGGATGGCTGTGCAGCCCCCCCCCACGCCCCGCCTCCCCCTCCCCAGTTTCCATAGCTCCTTCTGGACCAGCTCTTCCGGCGCACGCTTTCTCAGGCATGCATGAAGCTGGGATCCACTGGGCCTTCCCTTGCAGTGTTGTGACTGTGTATGTGTGGGGTGTTCTAGGGAGGCCCAGAGAGATTCTTGGTCCTTCTGGATCCCTGGCCTGGGATCCTGAGAGGGTACCCCTTGCCTTTCTTTGGGGTGATGGGAGTTAGAAGCAGCGGCAGANGTGTGCTGCAGCTGCCAAAAAAGCCAACACAGTGCTAGGCTGCATTAACAGAGGGATAGAATCAAGATCAGGTGGAGTGTTAATACCACTTTACAAGGCCTTGGTGAGGCCACACTTGGAATCTTGCATCCAGTTTTGGTCACCACGATGTAAAAAAGATGCTGAGAATCTAGAAAGGGTGCAGAGAAGAGCAACAAAGATGATCAGGGGACTGGAGGCTAAAAGATAATAAAGAACAATTGCAATAATTGGGTATGTCTAGTTTAAGGAAGAGAAGGACGAGGGGGGACACGATAGCAGTGCTCCAATATCTCAGGGGCTGCCCCAAAGAAGAGGGAGTCAAGCTATTCTCCAAAGCGCCTGGAGGCAGGACAAGAAGCAACGGATGGAAACTCATCAAGGAGAGAAGCAACCTAGAACCGAGGAGAAATTTCCTGACAGTGAGAACAATTAACCAGGGGAACTACCTGCCTCCAGAAGCGGTGAATGCTCCGACACTGGAGGTTTTTAAGAAGAAACTGGACAGCCATTTGTCCGAAATGGTATAGGGTTTCCTGCCTGAGCAGGGGGTTGGACTAGATGACCTCCAAGGTCCCTTCCAACTTTATTATTATTATTATTATTTTTATTATTATTATTATTATTATTATTATTATTATTATTTTTATTATTTTTATTATTTTTATTATTTTTATTATTATATTTTTATTTTTATTTATTTCTTTATTTCTATCTCCATTTGCATCTCTGCTCTGTCTGCTTTCAAAGCCAGGCGATCAATAATCACAAACTGCTATATTGTCTTCTTTTTGATTTCGTTTTGAAATCTTAAGGTGCTCTCTGATCTTTGGGGGCTTTCCTTGCAAACAAAGTGCCCAGATGTTCCCTAGTTTGGGGTAAGGAAACCTCTGCAAGGAAGCCCCTCTCCAGATCGGAGAGCCCCAACGATCCGATCCGCTCCGGAGAGAGGCCAATTTGTTCCTGCAGTCTTTTCCATCCCGCCTTGACCCCGTCTGCTCCTGTGCAGATGTCTTGGCAGATGTCCTCCAGGATAACGCCCCCACCCACGCCAAGTCCTTGGCGGCCCCCTCCATGCTGGAACAGCAGGTCAAGGCTCTCCCCAGACATTTCCCCCCCCACCCCTTTTGCTGGCCAGCTGCAGGAGCTCTTCTGGGGGGGGGAACTGGGCAAAGGGATGTCCTTGGTTTTTTCCCTCTCTGTTTGGCCTCTCTCTAGGCTGCCCTCCCCCCTCCATCCATTGCAGGGGAGATGCTCAAGCCCTCTTCTTTTGCTTTGCCTTAACCAGGTTAGGCTGGGCTGGATGGAGAGCCCATCGCCTGCAGGGGTTCTCAGATGACCCCTAGAAAGGGGCTGCAGAATTGTTCATCCTTTTGCTATCTCTTATTTCCTCCTACTCCTACTGGTTGCACATCATCATCATCATTATTACTATTATTATCATCATCATCATCATCATCATCATCATCATTATTATGTTGTTGTTGCTTTGCAAGTACACTGATTGCTTCGGTGCCGGAGACCAATTCCTTGTGTCTCTAATCACACTTGGCCAAATCAAGTATCCTGTTCTGTCCCCTGTCCCCCATTCCACATATTCCATATATTCTATATTAGCGTTCCCCAACTTTTCCCGCTTGGTGGCTCAATGGGGGGGGGAGAGGGAATGTTCAGTGTGAGTGGTTGGCACAAGTGCCCACCACTCAAGCAAGTGGAGCTGTGCTTTCACCCGCCACTTGCGAGGCCCACTTCTGAATGGGCCAAGGCCCGTAGTGGGCTGTGGCCTGGGGGTGTGGGACCCCTATTTTATATTCTATTTAGTCTATATATTCTATACATCCTATACATAGAATAGAATAGAATAGAATAGAATAGAATAGAATAGAGAATTAGAATAGAATAGAATAGAATAGAATAGAGAATTAGAATAGAATAGAGAATTAGAATAGAATAGAGAATTAGAATAGAATAGAATAGAATAGAGAATTAGAATAGAATAGAACAGAGAATTAGAATAGAATAGAATTTAGAATTAGAATAGAATAGAATAGAGAATTAGAATAGAACAGAGAATTAGAATAGAATAGAGAAATAGAATAGAATAGAACAGAGAATTAGAATAGAATATAAAATAGAAAAGAATAGAATAGAATAGAGAAGAGAAGAGAATAGGGAATAGAATGGGGACTAGAATAGAGAATGGAATGGAATTTTTTATAGGCCAAGTGTGGTTGGACACACAAGGAATTTGTCTCCGGTGCCTAAGCTCTCAGTGTACACACAAGTAATAGTGATAATCATGAACATATACAACATGAAAATACGTTCATCACAAATTGTGAAATACAACACTCCATCATAAATGATAAGATGCAACACTTAGTGATAGTCATAGAGTACAAGCTAAGCAAACAACATAAATCATACTAAGGTACAAAAAANTTTCAAAGCCCGTGAGGCTATCCTGGCACATGGGAAACAGCAGGAACTTCTTTCTGGGTCTGCCCTGGACCCTCCTGGGTTTCTCCCCAAGGACTGGGGTGGCATTGAGGGACAGTCCTGAGTCTGGATCGTCTTCTCCCAAAGGTCCCTGCGGCTGGGAGTCCAAATCTCCTTGGATTACTGGTGGACGAACCACGTCATCTTGCGAGGCCTGGATGAGGTACAGTTGCTTGTCAAGCTTTGAAACCAGTCTCTGAAAGTCTTTAGACTTGCAGGGCTCTTCAAACTTGGCCCTTTGATGACTTGTGGACTTCAACTCCCAGAATTCCTCAGCCAGGCACGCTGAGTTGAAGTCCACAAGTCATCAAAGTGCCAAGCTGGAAGAGTCCTGACTTAACAGAATTAACAGAACTTGTGGACTTCAACTCCCAGAATTCATGGCTGGCTGGGGAATTCTGGGAGTTGAAGTCCACAAATCTTAGCATTCCCAAGGTAGGTAGGAATTGGGTTAGCTGGGGAATTCTGGGAGTTGAAGTCCACAAGTCATCAAAGGGCCGAGTTTGAAGAGTCCTGACTTAACAGAATTAACAGAACTTGTGGACTTCAACTCCCAGAATTCATGGCTGGCTGGGGAATTCTGGGAGTTGAAGTCCACAAGTCATCAAAGGGCCGAGTTTGAAGAGCCCTGTCTTAAAGCATCCTGGTTGAGGAATTCTGGGAGTTGAAGTCCACAAGTCATCAAACGGCCGAGTTTGAAGACCCCTGCATAATTGCCTGCCCAAGAAGGAGGGGTGTGTGTGTGTCCACCCCTTCTCTAAAGTGTCAAAACTTTAGAATGAGCATGGCTGCAGCCATTTTTTCCCTTCTCATTCTTAGTTGCCACATAGCACAGAGGGACAGGGGTGGCCAGGTGTCACGCTAAACAAAACAGACTTTCTTGGAAGTTCCCTCGTGGGAACCAAGGTCATCGACTGCTCCCAAGATTGTGGGCTGGGCGTTTGATGAAAAGCCTGCTAACAAGCTGTGTGGGGAAATGTAATCGCTTGCATAGCCTCGGGAGAGGGAGTTCTTGACTTTGTAGTGGGGAATCGTTATGCATTTCTTCAGACTTGGTTTCACTTTTGAAGTGCCGACACTCTCGGTATCAATAAACATCCTGAGGAATTTGCAAGCCTCTGAGTTCTGCTTTACTCGTCTCTTGTCTATTGCCGGAGTCTTCAAACGTGGCCCTTTGATGACTTGTGGACTTCAACTCCCAGAATGTGCCCGGCTGGGGAATTCTGGGAGTTGAAGTCCACAGGTCATCAAAGGGCCAAGTTCGAAGACCCCTGGTCTATCGGAACCATGAGCCAAAGCCCCTATAGGCTGGAGAAGAAGCAACGGATGGAAACGAATCAAGGAGAGAAGCAACCTGGAACTAAGGAGGAATTTCCTGAGCGTTAGAGTAATTAACCAGTGGAACAGCTTGCCACCAGAGGTTGTGGGGGCTCCATCCCCGGAGGCTTTGAAGAGGAAATTGGATACCCATTTGCCCAGAATGGTCTAGGATTTCCTACTTGAACAGGGGGGCTTAGAAGACCTCCAAGGTCCCTTCCAATTAAGGTCCCTTCATTCTTCGTTATATCCCCCTCTGATAGCTGCAGTGGGACTTCCACACACATACACACACTCCTATTTTGCGGGGTGTAGAATTTCCCTCTTTTCACGCTCGGCCTACCTTGCACAATGTCAGCAGTTTCATTGTCCTCAGTTGCACATCCAGAGGCAAACCTCCCTCCCAGGATTAAGACCTTCGTAATCCAGGCAGGGCAGGGTGGCATAACTCAAGAGATCCTTCTCCTCTGGTAGATCAGAAGTCTCTCCCTGATATGCAGGCTCTGAGGTTTTGCTTGATGAAGAAATCCAGGAAGCCAGAAGTTGCCTTCCAGCTTTACGTTTTTATTCCGCTGAATACAGACGGGCTCCTCTAATGCAGGGCGTTTCAACCTTTCCACCCACTCTGCCACTTTTAGGATAGGGCAACATCCGAGTACCACCAGTCGCCTAGCAAGGTGTCAAAAACGTGATGACCAAAAAAAAAACAAAAAAGGAAAAAACTGATGAAGTACAGGTAGTCCTCGACTTACGACAGTTCGCTTAGTGACTGTTCGAAGTTACAGTGGCACTGAAAAAAGAGCCCCCCAAGCCACAGCCGAGCAAGGCACCTGCCTGCCCACCCGGCCACGCTCTTCCTCCTGTCCGAGGTTTCCATTGTTGTGAGCATTTCTGTTGAGGATTGGCAGCGGGGGTGGGGTGGGGGGTGTTTGGTTTTTATTCCCCCCCCCGTCTGCTGGGTGGTTGCAGCAGGTTTTGGTCCCTTCACATGACCCTGGGACACTGTGACCGTCATAAATATGAATCAGTGGCCAAGCCTCTGAATGTAAATCACAAGACCCTGGAGAGGCTGCAACACTCCAGCTGATTGGTGCTTCTTCTGGGCTCAGCAGAAGCGCCAGGATCAGTGCTGAGCTCCAGCTGGATCCTGGCGCTGATCCTGGCGCTTCCGCTGAGCCCTGATAGCCCCGAAGAAACGCCGATCATCTTGAAAGCGGCACTGATCCTGGCGCTTCCGCTGAGCCCTGACAGCCCTGCAGCTCCAGCCGTCTCTCACTCAGGCTTGTGCGTTGCTGCCACCGGTTCAGCTCATTCCCCTCCCCCGCTACCACTTTTCTAGGATGGTCACGTTCCACCTGCCAGGTGCCCATGTACCACAGGTGGTACCCGTACCCCTGGTTGGAAAGCCCTGCTCTAAAGGAGAGGAGCCCCGAATGACAAGAAATCCTTGTATTTATTCTTCCTGATTAAGTAAGCAACCCACCCAGCAAAGCTGACACACATAAGATAAAGATTTCACCCAGTTAGTCTGGCACGCTGTACATAAGAAGGGACAAAGCAAACAAATTCCCCTTCGGGTGTTTCCCTAAAGATATCGTATGTTCTCGGGCGGGTTAGGACATTGGGTGTTGTCCTTGCTGTCCTTCCATGACCCTGCGTCCAGGACTCTGCAAGTGACCAAAGAGAGAGGGGCCGTCTGTACGTAAACATTCACAATTGATGCTGTCCCCTAATTCCTGGTCGTCATCCCAGGATAGCCTGTGGGGGGAGATTCTTGAGAGTGGAGGTGCCGTGAGGTCAGGTCTGCTGGGAAGGATCTAACCACCTGCTCTCTCTCGCCCGTCTTCCCTGTGGTCAGAACAGCCCGGAGTACGTGGCCGCCGTGTCCAGGTGTCACCAGCGCTCGGCCGAGAGCATCGTCTTCGGGGCCGTCCAAAACGGGGGCCTCTACATCAAGCTGGGCCAAGGCCTGTGTTCCTTCCCCCACATCCTGCCCCAGGAGTACGTGAACACGCTGCGCACTTTGGAGGACCGGGCGCTCAGGCGGGGATACACGGAGGTGAGCGGGGCAACTACGGGCTGCTTCTGCTGCAGACTTCAGCAGCAGCTGCGCTCGGGGACCTGGGAGGGGGGGGGTGTCACCAGGTCTTCCTCCCTTTTAGGGGCTCTTCCGTGGGTCGCCCACAGTCTGCCCCAAAGAAAGGGGGGACAGAGCTGAGGTTTATTATTATTTATTATTATTATTATTATTAAATTTATATCCCGCCCTTCTCCTTGCGGACTCAGGGCGGCTGACAATCGATTTAAAAATACACAAATGACAATTACAGAATTAAAATTATTTAAAAAGAAATATTTAAATATAGTCTAATTAAAATATAATTAAAACCCCCTCTAAAAATTACCCTAGGCCAGTCCTGCAAGCTGGAATAACCAAGTCTTAAGGGCGCGGCGGAAGGAAGGGAGATCAGGGATGACCCTGATCTCTGGGGGTAGTTCATTCCAGAGGGTGGGAGCTCCCACAGAGAAGGCCCTCCCCCTTGGGGTCACCAGCCGGCACTGTCTGGCCGACGGCACCCTGAGGAGACCCACCCTGTGGGAGCGTACAGGTCGATGGGAGGTAATCTGCGGCAGGAGGCGGTCTCGAAGGTATCCGGGTCCGATGCCATGGAGCGCTTTGAAGATGATAGTCAACACCTTGAAGCGCACCCGGAAGGCCACAGGCAGCCAATGCAGCTCGCGCAGCAGCGGTGTTATATGGGAGCGTCGAGTCCCTCCCAACACCGCCCGCG